TTGTTTTATTTTCTGGGGTCCATGGGCCCAGACACTTTTCCCGTTAGCTTTGTTGGTCTAGCCCCGTTGCAGTTAACAGTCCTCATGGTCAGCAAGCTCCTGTGGTTGTTCATGGCCTCACTGCCTCTTGAGTCTTTCTCCTCTTTCTTGGCCTCAGAAGGAGCGGGGACCAAGTGACCAGCTTAAGATCAGTATCTCCTTATTTGTGAACCAAGAAGTCTCCCCAGACCTCATTTCTGGTGACGTGCACCTGACTCTGCAACCAAAGAAGTCTGGTCTGTGCAGTCACGGTTCTGATGAATGGGGCTTCTGGGACATCTTAGAGAGCCCCTGCCTGCAGGGTGAACAGTGATTTGGGTTGTGTTTTAAGGCTCTCATTAGTTAGAAGATTGATTTTAATTGTGTGGGTACATGAGCATGAACATGAGTGCAAGTTTCCATGGGTGTCAAAGACAGCTGAACTCAAGCCCTCTGCAAGAGCAGTGTGAGTAGTGCGAGCTCCTAACCACTGAGCCATTTCTCCATCCCCAATTCCTTTCCTTCCCTTCCTTTCTCTATTTCTTTCATTCATTCATTCTTTTTGTTTTCTATACCAGACAACAAAAAAAGAAAATTTCCTACATCTAAGCCAGGCCAGTTTGATCTATTGTTAAAATGAGAGAGGAGAGTTGGGACAGAGAGCAGCAAATACTGGTCCCTCTTCAGGGACAAACTGAAATTTTCTCCAAAAGTAGCACGTGTAAAAACCCACCTTTTGCTCACCAACAATCCCGACAGCTAGAAATAAAGATATTAGTGTTGCTTCACTTGGGGACAGTAACACATTAACAGGAGGAAGCCTCTGGTGTGTTCTCAAAGCTACACCAAGGGCACTGAGCAGCCACGGAACTATAGACAGGGGATGTCCTTGAAATGATGGAGCATGAACCTGCCTTCAAAGAGCCTTGGTTACAGGGAGAGCAAACCTTGGAAGAGACATGAAGAAGTTTTCTCTGGGTAAAGACCCATGATTTGACTTTCTGGCTTTACAGAGAACACGTGGTAGACCATCGGGAAACTCTCGGGAAGTGGCTCTGGCAATCAGGCCAGTGTCTTCTCCAGAGAGTGGCTGTCAGGTGTGTCGGGATAACTGATGGAAATTCTTTGTAGAAGGTGAGGTCCTATCTGGGGATGGATGATTAGCAATGCAAGCTGGTGGAACAGAATTACAGAACGTGTTACACTGGGAGCAACCAAGGGCTAAGCTAATCCTCTACATCCAACCAGTCAGAACAATAGGAACTAGCCAGGGATGGTGGCTAATATTGTATCAGGAACTAGAAACAGCTTCTAAACCACAGGTTCCAGTCAGCTTCTCTGCTCACTGGATTTCTGTCTTCCCATCTGTCCCATTGCTCGCCACGGTGAAGGACACTCAGTCTGCCCCAACCTGCCTGACTCTCAGAACACACCCAGCACCATAGGCCAGTGGGGGACCCGAGGGCAAAATTCAGATCCCCAGTGTCATATGAAGCAATCACATCCCATCTCACAAATATTTAAGCAAGGGTGTAAGCCAAGCAGTACTGTACAGAACAAAGGTCTCCTTGTACTCTGCTGTGAGCAGATTGCAATTCTGTTTGGCCCGAAAGCTGCCCAGTGCCCATAACAAAAATATGACAGTAATTTGCTAGCACTGCGACTGTTTCTTTAATGGATCTATTCTTGTGACATGCCTCAAAATTCCAAGGAAAGAGTCCCAAAGGGCTGTGCAGGGTTGTAAATGGTCTTAGAAGACTCTTGGACCCAGCTTGAACTCGTCATAGATCATCTCACCACTCATACATTTGAAAAGAGAAGAAAGAAAGCATTCTTTACAAGACATATGTGAGAAATCCCCCCAAAGAGATCCTGGAAAGAAAAAGTGTGAAAAGGAGGGGGGAAATCTGGACCAAAGAGCTCAAGAAGAAAATAAATAACCTGATGGGAAAAATGGCAATCAAGGCATGAGTGTTAGGACACAAGAGCTGGCAAATCGAGACAGAGCCTTTGGCTCACTGGGTCCATAATCAGTGTGTCTGTGAGGTCACTGCCAGCTACAGAGTATGGGAGCCCTATGTGCTGATTCTTCCCTCAATGGGGACAGAGTGCCTGATGCCCTTTGAAGAAACAGAGCCACACATCTGAGGAGGAGCCCACCCTGGGAAGCAATTAAGATTCTGAAGCAATTTGACAAGTGTGTACTTGAGTATTGACTTCAGTTGGTACTCAAACAGAAAGGAAAGCCCAGAGTCTTGAGAGATGAGTATATTCTGAGGTGTACAGACTTCTGGTTCTAGAGAAGGCTTTTCTCCTATAAGCATATGTCCATATGCTTAGTAACCAGAAAAGATAGATCTATTCTTGTTTGTTGAACTCCTCAGACGCTTGGACACAGCTCTGAGATCTGAAACTCCAGGAAGGACCAAGCTACAGGTTGGTGATGTGACCTGACAACCCTGTGCCAGCATTTCTTCCTGGGGGCCGGTATGCAAAACCTGACACTTTGGTCCCCACCTCAACATGAGTTGATCACAAACTGGATTATAACTTCAGTATTCCCACAAAACAAATGACTGTGTCTTTCCCACTAAAATCTCCACTCTACTTCCAGGCTCTGCTGGATCCTTCTCTACCACCCAGCTGTGCACCACGATTTCTGAGAAACAGGGTGGTGTTTTCATAAATGGCTCCCAAAGAAAGACCTGCAGAGGAAGGAGCCAGCTCCTTTCCCAGGACAGTTGCCTGTCGCAAACCCCAAACCTTGACAGAAATGTTAGCAGACACTCGTGTGGCTTGAATTTCTTGTGCCTCCAGGTCCCCCTGCTGCTTCAGCCCCAAATAAATACACAGGGACGCTATATTAATTATCAAACTGTTGGCCGATGGCTAGGGCTTCTTATTGTCTAGCTCTGTCTTAATTATTAACCCATTTCTGTAAATCTGTGTATTTCCACGTGGTCATGGCTCACCGGAGAAGGGTCTGGACCTGTTACTCCTTTTGCAGCTACATGGTGACTCCTCTCTGTCTCTTTCTGCTACCTTTCCCAGAATTCTCCTCCTCTCCTAGTCCTACCTGTCTTCCTGCCTCTATTGGCCAAACAGTGTTTTATTCATCAACCAATTAAGAGAAACACTTGACCTTCTTGTTTAGAATCCTCCCCTTCAGACACATTAACACTGACTTGGCCCAGCCAGAAGATAAAGCCACAGTCTTCACTGTGACATGCCACTCTCTAAATCTCACTTTAACCCCTGAAGATTAAGGAGTAACAAGGGCAACAAGACACACAATGGAGCCAGCTATATTCTTGCCACATGCTACATTATACTAATAGGGTAGGATTTTTTTTTTTTTTTGGAAGAAAGAAAGAAGTAAGGTCTGAAACAGTTCCCCTTTGATTTTGTCCCTTCCTTGTTTAATGTGTCCTTCTCAAGAACAACTGTGCTATATTTAGGACCTTAGTAGGTCCCCAGTAAATGTGTGCTGTGTGGATGAAAAGAGCCAGTGGAGACAGATAAATCTAATACTTGTCTGTCACCTATGTCGAAGCATCACTTTGGGCAAATCCTAGCTGGTGATGTAGTCTTGTCATCTACAGCTCACCGAAGCACTGTGTATGTTCATGAAATTAGGTGGAGGAATGGGTAGATGCTTGTAAACTTTGGAAAATTTCCCCAGTGTGTTCTCAGAGAACATCAAGGGGGCAGGAGTGCCGCACAGCAGGGGTAATGTCTTGGAAAATGCATGTACCAATGTTCTCAGACCTTTCTGGAATGCGGCCAGAGGGGAAGTGTACCTGGCTTGGCAATCATGAAGACCAGTCTCCGCCTGTCCACAGAGCAGTCCTCATGTTGCTGGGGTAAAAGCTACCAGGTCCCGGGGCATCATTTACCCTCGGGCCATGGGTCCTGCTGAGAACTGGGAAATGTTGGGCCCCCTGTGTATTTCAGCAGCTTCTCTTTGTCAGTGTCCTGAGCATGGAGATGAAGGGTCAACCTGACAGTATTCATGCAGTCTGACTGTGTCATGCATACAGTATATTTCCTCTTGGTTGGTCAGGGTCTGTGCCACTTCAGTTGTGGTCCTAGGAGGAAATGTCACCACCACTTTCAGACACATGGATAAGTACATTTACTTTATATGAAAAAAGTCACAAATTGATATTGAAAATGAAAACTGGGCATGATTCCATGTGGTGTTCATGTTAAACCATGGGGCTGTCAGTGCCACTCAGGTCTTATTCAGGCATTGAGTGTCGGTGTGTCCCGTGGCCTCAGTAGTATCAGGGGAATGTCAGGATGAGAAATGAGATCCGCAGGTCACATGACTACTGTGCAGGAATCAGACGGCCTGAAGAGTGGCAAACCTGAAATGGCATCATTTTCTGCACAACGCAGAAAGCCACACACTTTGTCTCCTGTGTCAGTCAAGTCTCTGTGGGTGCACTGGTGCAATTGCCAGGTGACAGCTTGTGTTTTCACTAACATGGGCATCTTTCTTTTAAAATAAATTTATTTATTGCAGTTCATAAGCTACATAGCATCACCCTATTGTAGAGGAGAGTCTAAAACCTTGATTCCAAAAACATAGCTCAGGCACCCTGGTTGCTTGTCAGTAAAATGGGAATAAATAATAACTTCCATCTTGGGTACCACTAGGCTGGGATGCAGAGCTCTTCATTTGTTATCTTGGTCAAAATTATCATATTTATTAATAGACAGGTCAATTCTCCAACAGAAAGTACAAGAAGGCTTTTGTAAATCCAAAGCGGACACCCACTTAAAGTTCTCTACTCTGGCTTTGAGGACAGGCGAAGTGTAGATGTTTGAAACATTGTTTCAACCAGCCTCCACCCCCTACACTGTTACCTGAGAAAATGGAGGAAGTGCATTCCCCTTGTAAGAAGCATCTCCCGCACAGCTACCTTCCACAATGGTTACAGATGACTTACCCTCCTTGTTGATGTCTTCCCTGCCAGGTTGGTGGCCACACGATGCTGCCCATCCGCTGGATGCCTCCAGAGAGCATCATGTACAGGAAATTTACCACTGAGAGTGACGTCTGGAGCCTGGGGGTCGTGTTGTGGGAGATCTTCACCTATGGCAAACAGCCCTGGTATCAGCTATCAAACAACGAGGTATGCAATGGTTTGGGAGGGACCCCCAACACACACACACACACACACACACACACACACACACACCCCAATACTACCATCAGAGCTGAAATCTAAGATGAAGCCTTGGTCTGAGTGCTCTTCAGTTGAGAACCAGGGAACAGACATAAGCTGCTTTGCTTGAGTCAACAGCTCTTCCTAGACTCATTTTAATAATTTTGGAGAAGGAGAGTTTTGCTGACCCAACCTTGCTCCCTCTAACGACAGGGCTCAGGAATGACTTTGTGCTGCTCATCTAACAAATTAAGAAGAGCCTTAGCGACCCATGCGCCTGGGTGTGGCAAGCGTTCCTGCACTGTTCCAGAGAAGTTGCAAGACCTTTTCCTTTTTCTCAGATTTTACTAGAATTTTAACTACTACAGGAAAAGCTAAAGCATTGGTTTGCGTCTTCAAATTCCTTTGCAAAATATAGTTACCTGTTGGAATACATGGGGATTGGCTCCAAGAACCCCCTGGTGACCAAAATTAGAGCACTCAAAGTCCTTCTATGGGATCATGTAGTATCTTGAAGCGGCCTGGGCATCTCTGGGGTCGTCTCCAGACTACTTACAGTAAGAGCACACACAAACACACCGTGAACAGTGGTATGTTTGGGGAATGATGACAAGAAAATAATGTCTGTACATGTTCAGTGCAGATGTCATTTTCCCCTCGTATTTTCAACCTGCTGTTTTCTGGGTGCACAGCAGCAGCCCACGGTACAACCAGCCAGTTCTGTGTTTGAGACACAGCGTCTTGCTCGGCGTCTCCTGTCCCTCTCAGATCCACGCCTGTCTTTTAATTCAGCTCTGATGGACAGTGATCCTAATCACATCTGCTGCCAGGGGGGTTCTCCGTCAGTCAGCACCTCACACAAAAGTCATTTGGGTTCTATCTCTAGCAGGGAAAACCTGAAACACACAGGACTTTCTGTGTGAACTTTAGATCAACCTTTGTGAATAAGTCAGGCCTTTGCTGGTTTTGTTAAGAACCAGAGTAGCTCCCTCCCTTGTGAGAAAGCAGCAAGAGGGTTTCCTTTGAGGCTGAGGTAAGTGGGCCATGAGTTCCAGGCCAGCCTGGGACACATAGCAAGACCGTGCCTAAAAACAAAACCCACCTCTCTCATGGGAAAGCCACAAGGGAAGTCTTGGTGAAGGGAAAGTTGAGTGTTAGCACCACACCATATAGGTACACAGGGAAGCTAATTCTAGAACTCTGAAGTACTGTACTGTGACGATAGATGTAAGTTTATTGTATCTTCAATGAAATAACATTCAAAAGGAACATTTTAAAAGAACAAACATCAACTGGTAACTGTTAGCAGCCCTTCAACAGGGGCTGGTATAGCAGCAGGGTGGGATAACATTCGGCCCCTTATAATAAAGATAGGATTTTATGAAAAGTTTAAAAGGAGGAGGTAGAAATTTCCCAGCCCAAAGACACAGTGATATATGTGGATATGTTTGTCTTATTGGTTGATAAATAAAGTACTGTTGGCCAATAGGAAAACAAGATAGGTGTGACTAGGAGTCAAGGAGGATTCTGGGAAATGTAGTAAAAAGATCCAGGCAGGAAGTGACATAGCAGGCAGACTCATATATAAGCATGGACAAGCAGGAAGTTGCTCTTTTTGCTCTTGCTCTTTCTCCTGCTCTCTGCTCTGGAGCCACCATCTGATCCTGGGAAGAGGACGCCAGCAGAAGGCGTCCTCGATAAGTCTTATAAAATATATAGATTCATGATAATTAAGACTGAGCTAACAGATGAGAAATCCTAGTCAATTGGCCAGCAGCATTGTAAACTAAAATAAGACTCTGTGTGTTATTTTGGGTGCCCACATGGCGGTGGGGCTTGGGGGGATGGAGGAAAGACTTATCGTTACAACACAGTAAATGGTTAAGGAAGTACGGGTACCAGCTGCCCTGATGTAGTCAGCACACGCTATGTATGCATAAACATATGTCTCAAGTGATCGCATTGGCCTCCAGAAACAAGCACATTGGTTTGACTTGACTTTTAAACAGCTAAAGAAAGGAGAAGCCCTTCCTTGCTCCTCCTGCACTGAGGTCCCACACCTATGGCTTTTCTCCTCCTGCTAACCCCATCTCTGGTCTCCCTCCAGGTGATAGAATGCATCACCCAGGGCCGAGTCCTTCAGCGGCCTCGCACTTGCCCCCAGGAGGTGTATGAGCTGATGCTGGGATGCTGGCAGCGGGAGCCACACATGAGGAAAAGCATCAAGGGCATCCACACGCTCCTCCAGAACTTGGCCAAGGCATCTCCCGTCTACCTGGATGTCCTAGGCTAGGTCCTTCTCCCCAGACCCACCCTTCCCGATGCACGCCTCAGACTGGCCCACACGATGAACCTCTTAACGACCGCTGGGGGTCATGACCTTGCTGTCCCTCGCTCTGACAGTATTAACAAGACAAGGGGCAGCTTTCAGAGAGACGCAGAGTGTGCACTTCTCCATCCACAGACAGTATCAACTCGCTTTTGGCATTGTCTCTTCCTCTCTTCCCGTCACCTTGGGTTTGTTTCTTTCTTTTGCCCTTTCTCCTCTAATTTTTTTGGTCTCCCCCGCTTCACAGTCCTCAGCCTCTCTCTTTGATCAATCTGGCTTCTGTATTCCTATTAACTGTACATAGACAAAGGCCTTAAAAAACCTTAATTTGTTACATCAGCAGACACTCCAGTTTGCCCACCACGACTAGCAATGCCTTGTTGTATTCCTGCCTTTGATGTGGATGAAAAAAAGGGAAATCAACATCTGACTTAAACCCGCCACTTCTGATGTACAGACCTGGGGCATTTCTATGGATTCACTTCTATAATTTATTTACTTATTTATTTATTTATTATTCATTTATTTATAATTACTCTCCTTATTGTTTTCTGATGGCTTTAGCCTGTGTATGAGAAGGAAAAGTTGTATACAACCTAGGGAAATTTTTATCTGTGGGAGATGAAAACCAGAGAAAGAAGTGTTAACATAAACCACACACAGCGTGATTGGAACAGAGACAACCAATGGGATCGTCTGGGGTCAGTCCCAGCTTAGGGAAACCCAGCAGCTGCTCACTGGGCAGAGCAGGTGCATGGCACCATCCCACCGAGGACCTTTCTGAGGAGGGAAGAGGATGTTGAATTAATTCTGCATTGTGGACAGTTTCCAGTCACAGACACTGGCTGGCAATGGGAAGAAAAGCTGGCTTCAGTGGGACCCAGACGGCACCTCGTGCATTCAGACAGTGCAGCGCATTGTGGCCGGGCATGGTGATGGCGCTGATGTGTCCTCAAGTGTTATTTACCAAGCTTTTGTCAAATTCAGTTGAAAAGAGGTAGATTCTTGCTCAAATATTACTTCTGGGGTCAGGTGGGAGAATCTGAGTCCTTGATAAAGACAAGGAGGACACTCTCAATCCTGAGGCACGTTTTTGTCACCTTGAACTGTTCAGACAGCAATTCCCTCCAGCCCCAAGCCCCCATTCTCACCCGTGTCTTAACTGTGCACGGGCTTTGTCCGTCAATACCTATGTGCAGGAGCTACTGCGTCAGCTCTGGTGCCCGACTGGCAGGCAGATCCATGAAAGGTCTAATTTATGCAGCTTAGGGAGGGTAACCAGATCAGTAGCCGAGAACACTCAACAGTTGGTGGTAATGGGCTTACCTAGTAGGCACACTGAGTGTCTTCATCTGCTTCAAACCCACAGGAATGTGGGACAGGCAGAATCCATCCCTGAGGGGAAGGAGAACTCTCTTGGGGACAGCATCTGAGTTCACATCAGTGTGTCCAGGTCAAGTCTCTTGCTCTGGGCTCTGTTTGGGAGAGTGGTTTCACTCCTACTCACTTACTCATCGCAAGTGTGCTGTTTTGTTATCTATACTCCATTAAAAAGTGAAAAAAAAAAGAAAAAGAAAAGAAAGAAAGAAAGAAAGAAAAAAGATGAAAGAAAGAAAAAAATTAAAAATTGACCCTGTATGGCTGAGCCAGGAGGTGAGCTTCTGGGTATGATCACTGGTTCTACTAAGAGAGAGTGTAAATTTAAGTAGAAATTTACAGTTATTAGGGTAGTCAGTTAGACCAAGGGAGAACTGCATTTCCGTTTCTCTGTCCCCCTCTGTGAGGGGAAGCTTTGATAAACTTGACATCTTCATAACACGAGCCAGATTGGAAGGGAGTGACTTAATTCCTTAGCACATTTTATTTGGTATTTATTTCTGAAGGTGCGAGAGCTCTGGGTAGGTTTCATTTGTGTGCCCATTAATTTCTGGAGCACTGTGTTTTCTAGTATAGACTTTGAAAGTCCGGTTCTCAAAATAAAAGAAAATAAATTAAAAAAAAAACCTCAATGTAAACGAGCAGAGAACAGAAGGTGAGCCATCGGGGCTCGCTCAAGGGAGGGGTCCCATAAGGCAGAGGCTGTGGTCCTTTCTGCTGTACTGGTCCATAAGACGGGAGTCATTTGTCCTCTTTGTCCATTAAATCAAACCCCTCCAGGATACCTATAATAATATAACGAAAGCCATATCTCTGTGGTATATACAGTCAGGTATATATCATATAAAGGACCTGTGGTACTGTCACAACACTGTGGAACTGTGAAGCAGTAAAGCAGGGGCAGATTTGCATGTCCATGCTGTCCTAGAGTCCATCAGCCATGACCTGGGAACGTGCACAGGTCGGTCGCTCTGAGTCTGGGAGAAAAAGCTGCAAGCTGTTCAGCAGAGGAGATGGAGAGAGGTCACTGTCAGGAGGGGAGGGGGCACGCAGGTTTACATCAAAGGTCTGTATTGAGAATGTGAGAGCATTTCCATTCCAGTTTTGTATTTTCCTGGGAAGGAAGAAAAAAGCAAAAGAGAGAGAGAGAGAAAGAGATTCCTTATACTTTCTGACAAGTCCCTGAAGGTCTTAAAATGAAAGTGTCTATGCAAGTGCAAATTTTTATAGTTATTTATACTGATTATTATAACTATCAATTATTACCATTAGTCCCTCTGTTGTCTCAAGAATATGTGCCGATTTCAGAGCATTGCAGAGCATCTGATTGCTTTTTAAGTAGCTGGATGAGCCAAGGGCATCTTAAAATAGTTGTCATTTTTCATCTACTATCCCCTTTCTTGTGGTATTTTAATTTTTAGAAAAGAAACATTCTTGTTCTAAAATGTATCCCTCTTCAAATAGGACAAACATGGTGGTAGCGAACGAAAACCTCTACCCGAACCCCTTCTGGCGTCCATTCCATTTCTAAACTGCTTGATGGTCTCTGGGCAATTTTTGCATGTGTCAGCAAATTATTCATATTTTTCATGAGGTGAATAGAGACTCGGAAGCTCAGAGACCATGGGCTTCACCCGAAGTGTGCCCACAAGACATGCTAGCATACACGAAAGACATTGAGGAAGGAAAACACGCTAACATGTCAGTCCAAGCAGATGGGATACTCTGTTGCGCGCTTCTGCTGACTCCCTACACGGAACCGCCGTCACAGTCAGCCTCACTTAGAAAAACGCTTCGAACACTGCTACCAAGGGTTCTATCAGAAATCATTCGCACATGCTCACATCAGCCCCGCTCGTGGTGTTTTCATGTACTTTATATATATATACATATATATACATATATAATATATGTTATAAACACTTGATTTATACATATACAAATGCACATGTGTAGTGTGTTTGTGTGCTTATGTATAAACCTATAGGCACATGGTAATAGAATAATTATAAGTAGGGTGCAATATGAGTGATTTGCTTAAAATTCGCTAAATAACCAAAACCCCCCCGATGTCGTATGGCACTCAGTGTTCCCATTCTCCACGTGGGTAAGGACCACACCACTCTCAACTCTGTGCAGTCCTTGGGTGGAAGACATGCCAAAAGCCACATATTCCCTGGAACAACCAACTGAAAGCCATCCTCTGCGCTAAGCATGTTCTCCCGCTCCTTGCAAAGGAAAACTGCAGACAAACGGTCTCCTGATGTACAAGTCCAGGGAGGAGAAGCGAGTCCTCTCCTCTTGCACGTTTGCATTGTGTTTACCCTTTCCCGCTCTAATCCCATTCTAGATGCAGACCGCAGTGTGGTTGGGAGACCAGTGTCTTGAAGGCTGATGACAAAACACCCAACAATCCACAGCAAGACGGGCAGCTTGTAGTCACCCCTCATCCACATGGGGAGCCAGAGCCATGGTGCAGAGTGCTGTCTTTCTCAAGGCCTGGACAGCAAGGTCCTTGGTCCTTTCGAAAACGGGACAGCCAGCAGTACCTGGCGTTAAGTCGTGTCTAATGGCAGCACAGACCCAGGTGCCCTCATTGCCTTGCTCCCATATCCCTTATCCCCATGTTAGAGGGCTTCTACTTCCAAACTTGACCTTTGGTTTGGCCCTGCATCACGGTCCAAGTAAATCTCACGAGAGGAATGGCGAATGACCCAAATCCCCAGACATCTAAGCTCTCAGTCCAAACCAGTTCTTCACACTGTATCACTGGAATGTAGAGACTCAGGTTGCGATAGCTTGGACATGAATTTCAAATGCTATCCTAAAGAACTGGGGTGGGAGGGGTTCATAGTTAAGACAACAGTAGCGCAGGAGGCATACTTTCTTGTTGTCAGGGCTGGACTCAGTCACTGCTGCTAAAGTCAAAGGTTCCTGACTATTCTTAGCTGTGGCAACCTTCTCTTCTTTTCCTTTGACTTCATTTACTTAGTTTTTTATTTATTTATAAACTCTTTGGTCCATTCATCACAAACACGGAGCAAAAACAATTGCATATATGTAAATGTGTTGCAAGAGAAACACTGTGAATCTCACAACCACCTCCAAGCAACTATGCTGCCATCTTGATGTGTGTCTCAGGAGACGAAATGGGGAAAAGATGGGGACACCATTTTGCAGCCTGTGGGTTCTGGGCCAGGTCCACGTTTATTTTTTCCTTTGGTCTGTGAGTTAAGAAAAACGATCTTGAGTGGAGACTGACTGAATGTTCAACGAGCTAGGCAAAGTGTCGTGTGCTGCTTGCCACTGTATGTTTCAGCAGAAAGGAAACCGTGGAAGATGGAGAAACGAAACTTGACGTAGAGGTCTCTATCTTACAGCTCGTGTAGCTTACTGTTGCTTAAAATGTATACAACAGCTGGAAATATTTTCAATACAAGGTATTTGAGTTAAATGTGAATTTTAAATATGTACTCCTTTAAGGAATGATCATATTATGGCAAAATATCTCTCCCCGCGCTCCTCACAAATCTGCCGAGATGTGGGTGGCTACAATTGCCTAAGCAGCGGACAGTGTTTGTATATAC